AAATCCTCATAGTTTTTCCGCATTTCGGTAAATAATGTACCGTCTCTCGCGTTGTGCCAAAAATCAAAACGAAGTGTATAGGGATTCGTAGATGTGAATCAAGAAGGCTTCTGTTAAAAATTATGTCATACCATATGCTAATTTTATGTTAATATAACAGTAGGTTTGCGTTCACATGGATTAATGAATAAACATTTTGACGAACGCGAAACACGCATTGAGAAAAAAGAAATATTAGCGTTTCGCAACCGGGTGTTGAGGGACTGTGGTAAAACATTGCGCCTGTGCCATTGTCAACGATGGTGACACTCGCGAAACCTGGTGCTACGATGCATCGTGCCTCAGTACACCGCAGAAACACATACATGCTATATTGAAGTGATTCGTCTCACCATTCACGGATCAAAACTAAAATTACGGGTGTCACATAAAAATGGCGTGGGCGTTTTATTGGCTTATCTACTTTCTCGATGTGAGCAGTAATATTTTAGAAGAATCGAGCTGGAGTCTCGTGTTCTTGGGTAAAACAACAACTTTACTAAACACACGTTCAATAATAATTTTTCTAGATGGCATCCCATGGGTATTCACCACGTGCTGCCCATTTAATATTGCCTATGAGGCTTGTGATTATATTATTTTAAATACGATCTATTTTATATTAAATGGCAATTCATTCTATAATACTGTATGATTGTATATATATCCATCAAACCACACAAGACAATTGTAGTTTACCTATGTGACTGGCTCTTCGCTATATATGTGAGAGGGAAGGAATGAACTAATTTTGCTGTCCTCTATATGTCTAGAAACTACGTTAGATGAGACCATTCATATTGTTTAATTCGTCAACATTGTTCATATATAAGTATATTCCTGTACCACAGATCCTTGTAATATAGTTTAGTGTTAGGGTATATATTTTTCGAGAGCAAGTGTTTTATGAACGCCATCCAATGATTCCTAATGCGGCTCAGAAGGTGAATACAAGAACATTGATTTCTGCTTTGATTTGTTTCCCTAAAACTTTCACCATAACACCCACAGGCTATTAATATATAGTATATTGCTTTTCTTTTGAAAGTGATTAATTGTACGTAATTATTGTCAACCAGAATTTGTACCGGGCTTACAAATTACAAAAGCCAATCATAATAATTTGCTTGGATAGAAAGAAACGTAATATTGAAGTATAAATAATTAAACAAATATATTGTCGGTGCATCGAAGCATCAATAATTGGAATGGCATATCGCGGGAACACCGTTGTTATAAGTCAATGCGCAACACGCGTATAATTCAATATAGTATTGTGTTCTTAGACCACTCTACTCAACACTATGTCATCGTACGTGTTCTCTTTACTTATTTATTGTATAACACTAATAAGCGTGAAATAACAATGAGTGAGAACATCCGTTCAATTGCTTACTGTATATTTTTTCCCTTTCAAGTCGACATAACATGTATCAGATTGTGGCAAGGCATCCACGACGAGATGGTTCAGCTTAAGGATATACTGTACATAGTGATATGTAGAGACCGGATTCAATACCATGCTCTGATCAGACATTTGATTACAAATATTTTGCTTTAATCTGTAACATCGGTAGCAGTAATGGCGTATACATACACTCACATTGAATCTTGATTGCCAAATGTGACAAATCAACCACACACACACAAAAACAAAAAAAAACCAAGTCCTGAGGTACTTACACATTTGGGTGTAATGTTTAAAAATTCTTTGTTTCCTTTTCATTCTTATTCTCCGACATGTATCTTATCACTGACAGAATTGACGGTGTTGACAGTTTTTTGTATTGTTTACACAGTTGGTATACCATGTACATATAATGTAGACAAGTGGTATGAGTATGGGATTTATTATAATGTTTGATTTTTCATTTGTGTAAGAGGTCCAAATGCCGAATACGCAGGTGTACTGAAGGGGCTTTAAAGTCTACCTGCATTCAGGATGTAATATACATATTAATGCCAATAGTATATATTTGAGTCAAAGCTGTTTCAAAGTTGAGGGCATAGATTTTTTTTTTACAGATTCTAATGTAAATTTGTATCCACAGTAGAAGTACAACTAGGAGTTAAATCAAGTAATAATACCTTTTGGTAATACCTTTAACCATTGAAGTAACAGCCTTCTAATATTCGACAGAGAACGGTATTTATTCAGCATTTACCCTGAAAAGTACATTCTCAAATAGAGCCACTTTACTAGTTCTGTTGTTATCAACAAACCCCATTTACTATCATGGGACGCTTCAGTATTCACGAATGACACATTATATAAGTAGCAACGCCCTGGATTTTAAACAACGAACAGATCGATGACCTTTGTGAATGAAAATTTTGTTTACTCAACGAGCTAAGCAGTTGGGTTGTTGTAGAAAACAGCATGTTAGTTTAATGTGATATGTACATAAATCAGTTACGATTCCACAGGTCATTGGTCTATTGTCCTTCGATACAAAATGCGTGACACACGTCACTGTGATAACACACAGCCTGCAACAGGACTGTACAATTAATACCTACAACTTGATTGTATCGTGCATTTTTTTAACAAATGGTCGATTGCACCGAAAGACAAGTAACTTGCCGCGTCCGCGAATGAAACAAAAGCATGCTTAATGGTCACGATGCACTAAAAACCTATTATCAACGTTAA